TTTCATCAAGCCAAATACGAGCTTGTGCAAATGATGCTGGTGCTGTAACAAAGGAACTTATTAAAATCGAACTAGGTTCACCAATCAACAGATGTATCTTTAGAATTCATCGAGCTCATTGTTCAGATGTCCTCTTTATTTAATTATATGATTTAATTAATACTATTGTTTCAAATATTCATAATCTCTAGTAGTCAAAAGCATGAAAACTTCACATATGAATCTATGATAAGTTGTAAGTTTTAACTTCATCCGTTTCTAATGTAACTTCTTTATATTCAATGCATATATACTATATGATATTTTATCTCCAAAAATTTTTGAAAGGATTTGACATTGAAGATTAGTAACATCTTTTCATATTATATCTTTTTATTCTGTATTTAAAACCAGACTAACGTTATGATTCTTAAACTAATACTAGTCAATAAATACTTTTAACTTTGAAAATATAATATTTTTACATATCATACATGTCGTTCTCATCTAACTGATCTATATCAATAAAAGTATTATATATACATGATAAATAGAAAAAAGACATACCTTCATTTGTCATATTTGATTGACGGTAAAAAACTACGTGTTGTATTTCACTCACTTCATCTGGCAAGATAAGAGTAAGTTTGGCAATAGGTGAAATAACTAAATCAGTCTGATTAGCGTTAAAATTCGCTGAAAAAAGTTGTTCAAAAAGATATTGAAATCTTTGTATCATTTTTGTTACTGTCGTATCTTCAAATAGATCACGTGAACAAATAAAACTACATGACAATATGTTGTCATCTGAGACTGGCTTGTAAACAAATTTCAACATAAAATCAAATTTAGCCGCTTCCGAAGACTGTTTTAATGATACTGACTGTAAGCTAACATAATCAAAAGTCAACCGATCGTTAACTGAAGATTCAATAATGAAATCAAAAACTGTTTGAAGAAAAGGAGCAGTTGATTGATCAAGATGAAAATCACGAAGAATATGTTGAAGTGGATAATGAGAATGTTCAAGAATTGATAAACATTTTTCTCGTACATGTTCAGTAACTTCATCAAATGACCAACAAGGATCAAGTTGCATACAATATGGTAATATTGAAACAAACATTCCAATCATAGTCTGTAATTCAGGTCTGTGTCGGTTAGCATTAACGCATGAAATACATAAATCAGTTAGACTATATGTTAACTTAAATAAAAATGTATAGAATGTAGCCAATCCGAGTTGAACTAGTGTCAAATGATGTATAGAAGCATAATTAAGAAATGATGAGGATATTTTATTGTCGAAATTGATTTGCACGATAGTAGCGAAACCAGATCGTTGATCATTAGATAAACGATGCTGATCGATTGGTAATGATAATCGACGTTTCAAGTTACATCCTTCGAGTTGTAAACGCCAAAATTCACATGATAACGTTATATCGATGAGACGTTCATGAACAGCATAATCAATATATTGTAATGATTTTTCATTGTCTAACCACGTCATGTTACTATTGTAAGTATTGCATAGATCATTTAAAAAAATCGAATACGCTGATCGATCAATTGCAACATGATGGAAGCCGATAACGAGAACATCAGAATCTGTAATCATTTCTTTATCACAATTTTCATCAGATATCATCTGTTGTCTGAGAACTTGACAATAAAAAACACGACCACTTGATAAATCGAACAAAT